TAAAAAAAGATGTCTTTTAACAGGGGGCCATAGTCCAAAGGCAGCAGGCGAGCAACCAGGCTTCTCCAATGCAATGTGGCGAGATTGGTCTCGTCACAGTCCCGAACTGGGAGGAAGGTACCCTCCCAGTGAGACATAAACAAATTAGCATAGCTGGGAGCGAATCTGGTCCCCATCGCAGTTCCGACTAACTGTAGAAAAAAGGAACCATCAAACCAAAAGAAATTGTTGGTAAGGATTAAATAGATACTGTCTATAATGAAGTTAATCTGGTTCTCAACAAACTTGTTACTGTGTGACAAAAAATATTTAATAGCTTCACAGCCCAGCTTATGTGAAATGATAGTGTACAAACTGGTCACATCACATGTGACCAGATGAAAATCTTCTTCCCATTGAATGTTCTGTAGGGTCTTTAATAACTGTGTGGAGTCCCTAAGGTAGGTTGGTTGAGATGTCACCAAAGGTTGAAGTTGTCTATCTATGTATTCAGATAGCCTACTCAAAAGGGATCCTACCCCGGATACTATGGGCCTTCCAGGAGGCTTCTTTGTATCCTTATGAATTTTTGGGAGAATATAAAGAACTGGTATGCGACATACCGATATATTTAAATATTTATATTCATGTTTATTGAGAATCCCATCTTCCATACCTTTACTTAGTAGTGAGGTGTATTTCTTTCTTATTTCTGGGGTAGGGTCAGCTTTAAGTTTAACATAGGTGGAGGCATCGTTGAGCTGTCTGTATACCTCTTCCATATAGTCCGCAACATTCAGCACAACAATGCCTCCACCCTTGTCTGCTGGCTTAATAATAATATTGTGATCTTGTTGAAGATCTCTCAGGGCTTTAATTTGAGAATGGTTTAGATTACTTTTTTTCTTCTTAGATATCTGTCTCACATCATTAGTTACTAGTTTCTCAAAAACTTTCATTTCACCACTAATATGATTTTTTGGAAAAAAATGAGATTTGTCTTTTAAGTTTGTATGTATGAAGTTGTCATTATTAGTTTCCCTTAATACATTGGTAGGGAATTTCTTAAAATGTTTCTTTAGACAAAGTTTTCGAATAAATTTATGAATGTCTATAAAGGTGTTGAAGGGTTTATTAGTACTAGTCGGTGCGAATTTTAAGCCCTTATTAAGGACTTCTAATTCTTTATTTGTTAGTATTTTGTTTGAAAGGTTAAAAATACCTAATGATGATTTTTCCCTCTTTTTTTCAAAGTCCAAAATTCTTCCTGCTCTACGTCCCCTTCTCCCTGACCCCACGGTCTTTTGGACCTTTGTGGGCGGGGGGGTTGGTCCTGTACTAAAAAAGGATGAGATGACTGTTGGGAAGTTCCGGCATAGGATTTGGCTTTACTTTTAGCGGTATAATTTGTATTCTCACTTATTGTATCATTCGTTAAAGGTCTATATCTACTTCCATAGTTAGGAGTGTATTGCTGATTTCGCTTAAAGAGCTGTGTTCTATTTGCACCACTAGTTTTAGGTGAATCCCTAACAGCTGGTTTATTAAACTCCTTACGGTAAGATTTTTTGTATGAGTTTTGATTATCTCCATTATGGTTCCTAATATATCCACTAGGTTTTACTCCAGGATTTAAATTCCTGGGGTGATTTCTTTTGTGCCTAGCAAATGAACGAACTCTATTATAAGCATAATCATGCTTATCCCTTATGTATTTACTTTTCTTAATGGAGACAACCTCTTCTTCCTGTTTGTCTATATTTTCTTGAATTTTTTTAAGGGAGGTATTAACCTCTTCAGTGCCTAACATTGGTTGGAGTTTCTCTTTAATCTAATTAATTTCCCTATCTAATTTAATAAGATTACGTTTCCTTTGTTGGACGATGATGGACATCATACGAGCGGAGAAGGATTCCAATGCTGAATTCCAAATCTCCATGAATCCATCATCGTCCTGATCAAAGGTAGGTTTCTTAAAGAACCTTAAACCCCTTGGGGTAATATTCTCTGTTAGATATTTTTCCATGGTGAAAATTTCCCATTTGATCTTTGTTTCCTTAATCAATAATTTTTGTAATGAATCACAAGTGTAATCAAAATCATATTCACGAAACTTAATGGGTTCTGATTCACAATGAAATTTCCTGGCCAATTTATCCTGCCAATTATTTCTTTTTTCAAATAATTCCATCTTTTAATGGACTGGAGCAGCCTACACTTGTTGGGGAATAGTAGATAGATACAAAAAAGAAGAAAAGTGAATGGCGCTTACACAGTAAAACAGGAGCACAGTTGGAGTGGAAAGGGTGTTCCCCAACACCCTAAAATCAAGTAATAGAAAAAGGTACTAAAAGCAACAAGTGCCAAATACACACACCACTCCCTGTGTATCAAAACAGGCAATAATAATACTTATACATGTACAGGTACATATAGGAGATGGTCCATATAAAAACCTATAAAGATAAAAAATAGTACATAGTATAGCCTGTATATACAGAAGAAGGAAATATGGAAGTGATTGAATACACTCACGGATTTCAGAGCCATGCCAGGCTCTGTATATGGTGCCCAAGGGTGCCTCAGAAGGCTCTGTGGAGAATCTTGAATAATATCCCCCATAAGTAGGAAAAAACAGCAGCAGAAGGATGAATAAAAATAATAAATTTAATGTAAGTAAAAATTAAAAATTAAAATAGTAACTGTGCAGGTCCCATATGGTGACACACAGAATCACAGTCATGCAGACGCGTTTCAACTCAGTCCGAGTTTTCATCAGTGCATAAAACATCCAGCTGCTGTTCCATTTTAAAATCACTGCTTATTCTAATTGCCGGTCACATGGGCGGAAGTTCGAGTGGCCGGCGTCTTTTTTGTATCTATCTTTTTTTGGTGGTGACATTACCCTGTGTCTTTTTTTGGTCTGTGGTTAGTATGGAAGGAGATCTGTGGGAGTTACAGCAGCTGGTGTTGATGATTCCAACTTCTCCATCCTTTGATTTAAATTATTTATAGATGACAGAATCAAAGACATTGTGGCCTGTATCCCCGTCAGGGTGTCGTTTATATTGGCTTGCTTACTGGTCCCTGGTTGTGGATTATCAGAATTGGATATCATGAGTCTATATGATTTCTCCTTTCTGGTGGTGGCTGGATATGGTATACCCCTCCTTAGTTCTGAGGCGATCTTTGGGATAGTCCATGACCTCAAGGAACAGGGACCTGAAGGGTCTTGGTTTTCACCCGCAGTAGGGGCAGCGGTTGGTGTGGGTGGTCTAGCTGGTGTTCTGGGCAGTGAGAAGTCCTCTCCTTGGTCTGACAAGTGAGACATACTATAATGTCATTAAATTGAGACTTATGATTATACTGTTATTGGTAGGTTATGTTAACTGGCGTCTGTGTTAATGTTGGTTGGCGAAGAACTTATCTATGCGTGGGATGGTAAGGCCCTGCTAATTGCCAAGTGTCAGTTAGAGGCGCTGTCTATGATTTGGCCCTGTGCTGTGCAATGAAATGATTGCGGGTGTAGGTCTCTGGGGAGCTTGAGAAGACAGTGGGTAGGGAAAGTGTTGCCCTAACTAAACCTCTTAGTAGAGTGTTGCAAGACTTTAGCTATGATTTGGGCCGATGGGCGAAAAATACCTCAGTGTGAGGATGGGTGTTGGTCTCATGGTAGCTATGAAGTATTTTCCTGTGCTTGGGGCCATTCCAGTTCCCTACCTGCCAGTTAATGATGCGAGGGTACAAATGAGTCAGAAAAAGCATACCTGTATGACTTTTGAGAGGTCTTATGGCTTGACTGAATGTCTGGCTATGTTCGTATATGCCACCTGTTGATAAGCAATACTGTGGTTGATACCTTTAACGTGAATGATTTGAGCGATTAATATTATTATATAGATACCTTCCTGCGTTTGTTGATCCTCCTCTTAAGGGGTTGAATTTATGTAGTATTACTTCTGGACCTATTGGTTGAGGGATTGAAATAAAGCTTAAGTTTGATAAAACTGCATTTAGGGGTGCTGCTATAGGATTACTTGAGAATTTGTAGCTGATGAGTGGTTTGTTAGTACTTATATGTAGAACAAATGTAGAAACATAACTCAAAGGTTGTATACTTGTGACTCTGATCGCGTATGCGGGTGGAGCCTGAGTCTGAGCCTGTGCTGTGGGCTGGTGGTAGTTCTGACTGTAATTAAATCTTATGTATGAAAAGCCAAGGTTCTTTACCAGGCTGCCTAGAACCCTCTATATTGACATAAACCCCTAGAATACCCATATTGAAACTTGGGGTTAGGACTGTGCCTTAGTAAGTATTTTTTATGGACTGTCCAGATTGTGACTTAAACCTTTCTCTCTCCTCCCCCCTTTTCTTCCCTTTTTTCACCCCCCCACCCACCGCCCCCGACATTTTTACGTACCATGTACACAAGAGAATCAATGTGACTGGATGATAAATGCTAAAGTATTGATCTGAATTCTGAAAGTACAATAATGACAATGCAAGCGTATTTTGGTATGCATCCTACAAATCCGACTTATAAACCATATGTATTTCCCACCAATTTGTATTTTCCGCCGTTAGGATTACTTGGCCCTATCTCTATTAACCAGAGCAAACGATTTATTTAAGCAAAATGCTAAACATAATACTTGATTAAACATAACATGGCACAATAATAATTCTATTTTCCCCAATAAGACCTTCTATAACTGTAAGTTTTTTACTGACATGTTGTATCACAATGTAGTTTGTGCTGTCCAAAGTAGGTGGCGGTGTTGGCGAGTGTTATTATATAGAGCATAGTAACACTGTTTAAGCCAAAATAAATTTTTCCCTTTTTATATGTGCAGCAGAGACTAGCCATACAGGGTCTCTATTATTCGAATGCCTGTGTGATTAGTGATAAAACGGTTCGTATGAGTGCGTACGTAGTGTCAATTTGTTTGAAATGCATTTTGTATTGATTTGAGGCGTTGTGTGTGTCACGTGCGGTAGTTTCAACCTGTGTTCCGTTTACTTACTTTTTCCGGGTGCTCGTCAGCTGACCCTGAAGTTCAGCAAGGTGCCCTGGGAGCTTAGCGGCGTTGTGCGCAACCGTGTCGGAGCGAACACTGGCGTCGGTGTTCTGTGGAACGAGGGTCTGCTGGATTCCTGGATAGTATCCTGGCTGCCTGGTAGAACCACGAGGGAGACTGTTCTGGTGAAACCGGAACGGAAAGTGACCAATCACTTTAGTTTATATAGGCAGGGTAATCCCCTCCCACAACTCCAGGCTCCGCCTTCCCATATATATGTATATATATATATATATATATATATATATATATAACCGAAATAATCAGCACTCCCAGGTTTTGTAAAAAAGAAAAAGTTCTTTACTCCAAAGGTCGACGTTTTAGCTTTCATCAGGACAGCAAACATACAACAAATGAAACAAACTTAGTTTAAATAAGAACATCAATCAAAAAAGAACTTACGATTCAGGTGTGTAAGGGGCTGGCCTCTCCTCCTCTCGAGCGTCAGGACAGGCACCACCAGGGTTCAGCATCTCATTAGTTGCGCTGACGTCATCAACACGTGACGTCGTTGCCATGGAGATCATGACGCTGATAGCGTCTATCACTTATCTTCCAGTGTACTTCCTGGGCGCCAGCATTCTCGGTAGCCAAGGAGATGCTGGTGCATGCGCAGAGTGCTTGTTCCCCTGGTCTAAGTGTCTGACCCGCGATCGGGAAGCAGGATTACCAGCATTCCTCACAAGTATATATACATATCAGAAAACATTTTCTGGGGAACGGCAGCATACTCTCCTCCCTTCTACAACATACGTGTTCATAGTTGATGCTTAGGTTGCGTGACCTGTGGTCACTTTATTCCGTGTAAAAGTTTTAATCATCCACACACAGGACAATCATTCAAAATTCAACACAGGACCAACTGCCGTACTGACTTTGTGATCTATAAGTTGTCTTGCACGTGTGGGCTAAATTATGTCGGTAAGACAGGAACCGCCCTTTGCGAAAGAATAAGATATGGATTATGTGGTATGGTGCACTTTAGGGTCCTGACTGGACCCGTGATAATTATTACCTCTAGTATGATATTTTATTTTTAATTTAAGTGTTAACTATGAACACGTATGTTGTAGAAGGGAGGAGAGTATGCTGCCGTTCCCCAGAAAATGTTTTCTGACATGTATATATACTTGTGAGGAATGCTGGTAAGCCTGCTTCCCGATCGCAGATCAGACACTTAGACCGGGGGAACAAGCACTCTGCGCATGCGCCAGCATCTCCTTGACTACCGGGAATGCTGGCGCCCAGGAAGTACACTGGAAGATAAGTGATAGACGCTATCAGCGTCATGATCTCCATGGCAACGACGTCACGTGTTAATGATGTCAGCGCAACTAATGAGACGCTGAACCCCGGTGGTGCCTGTCCTGACGCTCGAGAGGAGGAGAGGCCAGCCCCTTACACACCTGAATCGTAAGTTCTTTTTTGATTGATGTTCTTATTTAAACTAAGTTTGTTTCATTTGTTGTATATTTACTGTCCTGATGAAAGCTTCCAAGCGGAGCTGAAACGTCGACCTTTGGAGTAAAGAACTTTTTCTTTTTTACAAAACCTGGGAGTGCTGATTATTTTGGTTCTATGTCTAATAGTGCACTCAAGCACCGGGTCTGAAAATTTTCCAGTAAGTAGGAGTGCAGGGCTTCTGTGATTTTTTGTGTATATATATATATATATATATATATATAGATATAACAAAACCTTACTTTTTGAAATAAGTGTATAAATTATCCTCAGAGTGGACATTTTTAAACTGGACTGGTGAAAGAAGGAAAATTGTCAAACTTTGGAAGAAAGAAGGGAAAGATGATATGGAAGATTGTATGACTGGTGTTTGTATATTATTGAATACATTTCTAATTACATATTCATTTTTATATTGTAACAAAATGCCCTTTGTAGTCAAAGGATTGTTCATCTAGGATCTTTAAATAACCACTGTCTTCTAGGGTAAGCTGCAAGATAGGACAAACTCCAACTCTGGGTTTAAGCTCTTATTTGCTTTAACACTTCAGCAAGTGAAAATAAAACATAACGTGTTCTTTCTTGAACACTAAATATAAGCAGAATTCTCTATCTATAGTTGGGTGGATTTCATACTTTCTGACAAACGCAATAATGCAGTTAACAAAAGTAGCAAAGTACCAAAAATACCTCAGTTTGTAGAAGTCCAGCTCTCTTGGCTGAAATATCAGACTCGGAGGGAACTGACTCGGGCTGGTTTTACATACACTGTTAATTAGGCAAGTAACTGGCAACTGGCTTCCCCTGCAAAGCATCCACTCAGTGCAACACTGTGCCTGGATCCTTCCATTTCCATTTAACCCGTAGAAGGGAGAGGTAGAATTTGCCAAAGCAGGTCTTACATACCTTCTCTTGACAATTGCACAACATTTCCTCTCACTATATATATATATATATATATATATCTATATATATATATATAATTTATTTATTTGTATTTGTTTATTTTTTGGGCAGAGTTAGAGAAGCTAGGATTAATAGGTGGAACTCAGCCCTTCCAGGAGCATTGAAATATTCAAAAGTTAGCCTCTGAAGGCATCAGAGAATCTAACAACTGGAAAAGAGGCAGTTAAGCCTGAGGCCCTGAGACTCCAAGGAAACCCAGCGTGTTTAAATGTGCGGTGGTTATAATGTTTATACCTGGAAACCTGATCAGCTGGCCAGTTGGATAGTTAGGAAACCTAATGTTTAGTTAGTCACCACGATGGAGTAGGATTTGTTTTCTTTAGTTTTATTGTTTTTAGTTCAGTGTACACAGCCCTGTGTACCTTGTAAAAAGCTATAATAAACTATTTACTATTTTATCATGAGGCTTTAATTTGGATTTTCTTGTCAAGAGCCAGGCCATCAAGCTACAATATATTTATATTCCTATAATATTCATATGAAAGGTAGCACTCACAGGACTTACAGAATTTGATTTATTGTGTCAAGCTCAAGACATGACACACACAGGAAATGTACAGTTCAACATTTATATATAATGAGGTTACTTATATATATGTACCTATTAAATATTAGGAGTAGTTTAAAATAATTTAATGCATGAGTCTCTTCCCACACTCTTTTCTACCCATGTATTTTTTATTTCAATACTGAATTATCATTCCTGTAGTCAGGATTAATTTATTATGTATTTGAGCTAACATCTCCAGGTGGTCTGTAAACTATACAATTCTAAAAGTTCTGTTGAGGGATATGTCAAGCAAATTAGAATTATATCCATAGCAACTACCCAAATTTATTTTATAATGGGTGTTGTGCTGTCAAAAACAAAAAGGATAATCCTTAACTGTCAAGTGAAGCTCCTTAATACTCAAGATTGCATAGTTTTAAATAGTTTAATATACTCATTTTGTATTTACAACTTAGTGCCTGATATCATTCTATACGTTTTATTTTTTACTTTTTATACTTTCAACAATTTATGTTAACCTGTTAAGTTAAGACCTGGCAATATTTGGTATTCTAAAACTGATTCTTCAGTGCAAAATAAGAACACTTTATATTCTAGGTACCATACTAAGGTCTTGCATTACCGGTCCCCTCACAGCTTACCACAGCTGCGATGTCTTGCATAAATTGGTATGGCTAAAGCAAACTAGCTTTCATACTAGACATACCCTCCAGTGGGTGGTGGAGCCACACATGGCTAAGGACTCTCACTGCCCATAATTTTAACACTGTACTGCACGATTACACCAGTGTACTCCAGACATCAAAACCACTTCAATGAGATGAAGTGGTTAAGATGTCTAAAGTATTTTTTTAACATTTTATAAAACTAAACTACATAGTTACATAGTTATGTAGCCTGAAAAAAAACACTTACATGCATTAAGTCCAGATTTGCTAAAATCTGTTTTAGCTATTGATCCAAAATAAAAAAAAATCCTTCTCGACCCCAGAATGATAGACAAATCTATCTTTGGGCTGTTACTTCACCTATTAAAAATTATATCCCTGGGGGGGCGTGGCTCGGCGACAGAGGAAGATGGAGGCATAATTTTCTTGCTCCCTAAAGGCTCCACACTAATCCTTGCCAAAAGCACTTTTTAGCCACAAACATGAATAAAACACATCGAGCATCGCATGCTCCAAATGTTGCAGACACCCCTCGCCAATACCTGCTTACCCTGGCTGACCTTGGTACGCAGGCTTCCAACGACTTCATGGCCTCGAGCGGCCCACTCCTGCCCTCACCATGAAGAGAAGGGACTCCAGAGGACTTACCTGCTACCTCTTCAACAGCCGGGCAACCGGACTGGGTAGCGCTGCTGCGAAACCTGCCAACCAAAGTGGACCTCAAGGCGGCAAACACCGAGCTCTGCACGTTTATAACAATGGAGCTTCATGCCCTGAGAGAAGACATATGCGGCCTACACCAAAAGGTATCCCAACTTGAAGTGGATTGCGACCACATATCATCAGCGCAGACTGCTAACACGCAGTGGTGTATTTAAGATTTGTGCTGCCCTAGGCAGGACGGTGCTTGGGCAACCACCCCTAATTTAAATTTTCCCCACCCCTTCCTGACAAGGCCGCACTTTGACTGAGAGACGCTCACTCACTGACAGACGCACACACTCACTGAGAGATGCATACACTCATTAACAGACACACACTCTCAAATACACTGACACACAATGACATACACACACACTCACTGATTTGAAACACTGATAGACTCACACTCACTGACAGACTCACTGACAGATGCACACTCTCACTGACAGATGCACACACTCACTGACTGACACATAAGCACTCACTGAACCAACACACACACATATTCACTGACAGACACACACTCACTGACAGACGCACACTCTCACTGACAGATGCACACACTGACAGATGCACACACTCACTGGCCGACACATACACACTCACTGACCGACACACACACACATTCACTTAGACACACACACATTCAAACACACACTGACTTAGACACACACACGCATTCACTTATAGACACACACATGCTTACAGACACACAAACATACACACACACACTTAGACACACACACATTCACTCACAGACACACACACGCATTTCCACCAACACTCACAAATTATTATTTTTTAAATTTAATTTTAAATCCACCCAGCCTCCCTGAGAGAGCTGGAGTGGATTACTTACCTGCGGTCCAGTGGGGCTGCTGGTCGGGCAGGTAGGGGGCGGGCAGGCTGATTAGGTGGCGAGGTAGCTGTAATCTCCCTGCTCAGCTCCCTTGCGCACCGATTAGTGATGCCTGGAGCTGGAGTGACGTCATATTTTTCCGGCTCCTGGCTTCATTAAGCGGCGCCTGAGGGCGCTGAGCAGGAAGAGCTCAGGTGAACATGCTTCCTCACTGCCTGCAGCCTGCAGCCCGCTGCCCGCCTCGGGGGAAATCAAAAGTGGCCAGCTCTTGAACCCCCTAGGACACGAGGCAAGCAAGGGATTTGCCTGGGCGTTTGGGGCGGCTGTTTTGTCGCCCCCTGCAAAGTGCTGCCCAAGGCA